AGGTTATTTATGATAGATATTTTCCATGAATTGAACAAACTAAGAATCTAAACCCAAGTTCTAATGATTTGATCTAAATAAGGCATGTGATAAAATAGAAGAATTTTATTATATATGTGAAAATGTGTAAGATTAGTATTTCAATTCTTCCATCCTCTTCTCAGTATATCAGATTAAGCAAGTTACCTTTATGTGAAAGAATCAGCAATATAATTGATAGTCTTTTAGTAAGCCTTGATAAAACCTTTTTGGTATACTGCTTAGAAACCAAGTGAGGAATGATTATAACAACTGGATAACAAGTCCTTCCACAATTTAATTCTTTGATTTCAACAAAATTCAAGAAGCATCCAAATGAGTAGTTAACTGATAGGTTATTAAAGTTTATTTTTATTAAAAAACAAAACAAATAAAATATATATGTATGATTAATTCTTATGTGCTTTTTGGCTATGATTTGGAAATAGTTTATGGAATGACTATTCCATCCCTATACTATTATTTATGAAAACAAGATTTTTTAATACATCTATAATAACATAGTATGATAATAGAATTTATGCCAAACACTCTTTAATTTTAGCAGTAAGAAATATCTACCCATTAATATTTGATTGAAAAATAAATAACTTGTGCTTCTCTGGGGGATCCCTGGGTGGTGCAGCGGTTTGGCGCCTGCCTTTGGCCCAGGGCGCGGTCCTGGAGACCCGGGATCGAATCCCACGTCGGGCTCCCGGTGCATGGAGCCTGCTTCTCCCTCTGCCTGTGTCTCTGCCTCTCTCTCTCTCTCTCACTGTGTGCCTATCATAAATTAAAAAAAAAAAACAACTTGTGCTTCTCATTGACATGAAATGTAAAATAATGACTTTAAAAATGAATAATATGATCAAAACCTGCAATACAGATTTTTTTCATCTTTTGTGTATTATTAATAATCATAAAAGCTAACTCAATACAGAAAAAAATGTTAAACATTTTGACCTTCTGGTGTGGGATGTTTTTAAACATGAAAATTCAAATTACAGGTATTTTTGTTACAGATTCATAATAGAATCATCAAAAAGTTGTTTAAAAGCATATAAATTGGTTATTTGGGATAAAATTATTTGGGGGAAATGAAAAGGAAATCTGATAAAAGAGAAGAGTGCAGTAAAATTTCCAATTACTAATATATATGTATTTATATGTATTTTAATGGTTGTGTTGAGTAACAAATTACTAGGTATTTAAATTCCATTAAGTATATAGAGCATAGCAAATTTTAAATATCAATACATACTATATTTAAAAATCACATTCTTTGCAGCTATTTAAAAAAATTTTAGATGTTGACTAAAAACCACTGTAGTTTTTTTTTTCTATTTTGTTCTTTGCGCTGTAACTATTTGTTTTCAACTTTTATCCCTTTTATGTAAGTGGTTGAGGATATGGACCACATTTTCTAAATTTCGTGTCTTTCACAAAATTTTAACAAAGTGTCTTATTCATAGTGGGAGCTCAACTAAATATTTACTGAATGAAATTTTTTATTTTATCAAAGGGAGTCAGTTGTTTTTACCTAGACTTCAGGTTAGTTTTTCCTACTCATTGATGATCAAAACAATTGCCTGATAGAAATAAAATTTGAATTTGAAAAGTAACTCACATATTATCTTTAAAATGAGAATAGGTATAATACTATAAGAAGGAAATGAGGATATATAGTAAAACAATATTTATTTTCTTAAATGGGTTATTTTTTATATAAGATAAAGCAACACTTAAGCATTCAGAAATGTATTTATTGACATAAAACTATAACGTATATATACCCCTAACTAAAACCAGTCTCTTTTCATGATGATTCTTCCTAATGTGCACTAAATTAGAAAGCAGTAAAAACACCAGCAGATGGCTCAGTGTCGTTGACAACACGCCTTTTCTCCTCAGGTCACTGATAGAATTGTAATGAAAAGTTATATATTCTTTTACACTTTACTCAGCACATCTGCTTAGGACACCATAAGCACAAGATATTGCCTAACATTGCCTTAGTTGCTGCATATACTATAATAAGCTATCAAGAAGTAGCTTATGCATGCACACTGGTTTACACGTATATACGTGTAACATAAAAAGGATTAACTCAGTGCTCCACTTTGTGGGGAAAACAGTCTGGAGATACTTCACCTCCCTTCTAAGCCTTTGGTATCCATCAGAATTGTGTTTCCATAGTTGTAAAATTGACTAAGTTTTGGAGGATTATCAAGAAGGTTTGGTCTTGTCCTGTGATCATAATCTTGTTGAATTGCATTTAAATATATAGCATTTTACTCTGTACTTAGTATTATCCAAGAAATAGTATTACATAGCAACCTTTTGAATTTTTTTTAATTTTTATTTATTTATGATAGTCACAGAGAGAGAGAGAGAGAGAGGCAGAGACACAGGCAGAGGGAGAAGCAGGCTCCATGCACCGGGAGCCTGACGTGGGATTCGATCCCAGGTCTCCAGGATTGTGCCCTGGGCCAAAGGCAGGCGCCAAACCGCTGCGCCACCCATGGATCCCACATAGCAACCTTTTTTTAAAAAAAACAACATAACTTAGGCAAAAACAAACCTTAAAAATACAATAAAAACTCATAACCAACTTAGAAATACCAAGTTTGAATTTAGGAATTAGATAGCCTAATATCTCCCTTAATTTTTACCATTCCTTTGTCATTGTGAAACTGTTGCTTCAAGTAGGAAAATATTATCTTGAATTTATATAATTTCTTGTTTATTCAAAAGCAATTTGGAAAAACTTTAAAAAAGAAAAAAAATTGGAACTATCTTATATGTTACAAACTTTTATTTTAGAAGTATCTTTGTAAACACTAATTCTAGGTAACATTTATTGAGCACCTCCTTTGTACCAGGAACTCTGCTTAGCACTTTACTTTTAATCCTCACCACTCTCTGAGGTAGGTAGTATACTCTGCCCATTTTACAAGAGAGGTCTCCAAATCAAGTTTCATGGATGGCAAAAGGCACAAGTGGGGACATTCATACCATGGTCTTCCCGAACTGCTTATTAGACCTTGAGCTCTTTGAGGTGGAAGGGGGAGTCTTAGCTTATCGCAGTGTATCACAGTGCTGTTTGCATAGAGGAGAAAGTTAGAGAAGACCCTTTCACTGGTGTCATGACTGGGCAGTAGCTAGGTGTAGCAGGTGAGTAGCCAGACAAAGAATTGTAATCATGCTTCGAATAAGCTAAGAGAAAAATCACATTTGTTAGAACATCAAATATAAAAAGAATTCCACAAAAATGATAGAGTACTATGAAAATTAAATGGCCAAACTCACATCTGATTTCCCTATAATTACATCTAATTAACCAATGCCAATTTTATTATTTATTATGATGTATGCAATTGAAGATCTCGGAGTTACTATTACGTTAAGCTAGTTTCTAAGCTTGTTCCTTTGCCCTCCTATAAAGCTTTAACAGCTTCTTACTTCACCTTAAGGTTTCTTTTCAACTCATTTGTATTTCTGCAAGGAAAAAAATATGAAAGGGAAACAATGTAAATTAGTTCAATTTCTCTGAGGCAGAAAAAACTCCAGGCATGAATTTCTGGTGTTTATGCATCAGTGGAAGTAAGTGATTAGAACTTAAAAGTGGTGTTTTGGGTTCTTTATTTAAACTTCTACTAGTTTTAAGATTTTATTTATTTATTCATGAGAGACTTAGAGACCCAGAGACATAGGCAGAGGGAGAAGCAGGCTCCCTGTGGGGAGCCCAATGCAGGACTCAATGAGGGGACTGCAGGATCACGTGCTGAGCTGAAGGCAAATGCTCAACCACTGAGCCACCCAGGCGTCCCTAAACTTCTACTACTTTATTTTTTCATAGTAAATGAGATCAGGAATGGCAATTTGATTAAATCACATTCATCACTTGTGAAAATGTTAAACTTCTTTATCATTGTAACTTTGGGCTTCTCAAAGACCACCAGCATCCTAAAGAAGAGTACAAGAGCCACACAGGAGCCATTATCCTGCTCCTGCCCAATTCAGAGTCTCCGCATTTTTTTTCTAGAGTTCACAAGCTAGCACAAAAGTAAACTACTTAAGCTCATCTTAACTGTGTCCTGAAATCCTAAGTAAAAATAATGTATTCCAAATTGGTCCAAAGGGAATAAAATGCAAAGTGAAAATAAATGATTTTAGTTGTTTGGATTGCCAAATTATATAAAGGTAAACAATTCTGGGAAAAAACAATAAGTGTTTAGCATTTTTTTCCCCTCCACTCATAAAAAGTACTTTTTTAAAAAAGTACTCTGTTTTGTGTACAGTGAAACAAACATAAAAAGGATGGACTCAGTGGTCCACTTTGTGGGGAAAACAGTCTGGAGATACTTTACCTCCCTTCTAAGCCTTTGGTATCCATCAGAATTTTGTTTCCATAGTTGTAAAATTGACTGTAAGTAAAAGTTTATTTAATCATCTGTGTATTTCCAGTTTGCCTACATAGGTAAAACCCCTTAGAACAGCACCTGGCACATAGATAATATACAGCAAATGTTAGCAATAACATTAGAACGGCTTAGATAGCATCCATATACTGCCATGACAAAGAAGGAACATCAAAGCGGATGACTGTCTAACCAGGAAAGTAAATAGGGATTTTGATCAAGTCTGAAACTGAGCATTCATGAAGTTTCAGGACCCCACCTTTAGGAATCCTGCAACCCACTCTTTCAACTTGTCTTGAAACATAATTCAGAAAGTATTTTTTTAACAAGCAGAACAATCCTTTATTTCAAATTTCCCTTGAACTGCTCTAACCTATTTAGGGTTTGAGGAGATATAAAAATGCCCAACTTAATCACTGTTTGAATGTGTTTTACAAAAATGCAGTTGAGACAACCATGCTGTGCCCAATTTAAAAGCAAGCCAAAATAGAGCTCAAAGGATTGAATAGCAAGGAATTAACATAGGTTTATAATAGATATTAACTGACAACCCAGGCTATATGACTGGTAAAATCTTTTCAGTCTTTAATCTTATAAAAATCATTTGGTCATCAAACAAAGGAATTAATTGGTTTTTTTTTCCAAGTACCAAAATATTTGGTAAACATACCAAAAAAAGTTTTTCTTTATGAACATATCTTAATACACTCAATAAACTATTCCACATGAAAATACAGAAAAATAAAATTTTAAACAAAATACAAATTCTAATACAGAAGAAAAATGGTGAGTGGGAGAAATAGAAAAGTTACCAATTTTAACATAAGCCTTATTGCCACTAGCCAAATCTTTAATATGAGGTCTGTGGGTACGAAAATGCCAACATAATCATATTCAAATGTAATGAGTTCAAATGTAAATGAGTTGCAGCTTCAGGTTTCCAATCACATGCTTAATGGAGCAATAACATGATACATTGAAACTGCTTCCGCTTCACGAGAACCTTGTTATAAAGGATAGAGCTAGGAACATTACAATGTACTTGCCCTTTGGTGTAGTAAAATGAGCGAAACTTTTTAGTTTACTTAATTACAGAGTCTTACTATCAAAAATAGATGCTCTAACTTAAAAAAAAAAAAAAACAAAAACAACTTTCTTTGGAAATATTTGATGACATTTCTGAGAAGAGCCCATAAAAGCTCTCTAAAGAATAATACTTTCAAGACGTAGATATAAAATTCTCAGAGAATCGTCCATTAAAAACACAACTTTCTTCCAGTTTCTGTTCTTGTCAAAAAACAAAACAAAACAAAACAGGTTATCTTTACACAGTCTCTGTAGCTCCAAGGAATTCCATTTCCACGGTAGCTTTTGGCTTTTGGGCCAAGCCACGCTTCTTTTGGAACTCTGCTGCGATTTCCTCAAAGGATTTTCCTTTGGTTTCTGGGACTTTGAAAAATGTAAACAAAGTGAAGGCCAGGATCACTCCAGCAAAGAGGAAAAACACATAAGGGCCACAGAACTTCTGCATAGAGAACAAATAGAATTCCAGTTAGCGGCTGCTCTCCTCCATCTCTGTTCAGCAAGTTTGCACAATATGAGGCTGCTTACCGCAACGTACTGGAAACACAGAGCGATGATGAAATTGCAGGCCCAGTTGCTGAATGCAGCTATTGCTAAAGCAGCAGTCCGTGGCCCTTGGCTGAAGAACTCTGCCACCATGAACCAGGGGATGGGACCAGGCCCGATCTCAAAGAAACTGACAAAGAGGAAGATGGCTACCATGCTCACATAACTCATCCAAGCCAATTTATTCTGAGGAAAAAAACAAAACAAAAGCAAAAGTGGAGTTGGGATCATTGGCTGCTGCTTCCCTTAGCTAAGCAGGCTCTCAATGAGTTCCGAGGTGACATAGCCCTCTTCCAGACGTGTTTATGTGCAAATAATTATAAATTATCCTGGTTTGAGACAAGTTTATTGTAGTCTGAGTCATGCTTAAGTCTTTTGAACTTTGATACAGGAAATCCTCTGGATTAGGATTTTATAGGACTCTCAGTCACTCTGAGCATACCAAGATTGCTAGACAGGATGCATTACCCTCCGTGAAGTAGTGGACGAGGGTGCTGGTTGGAGAGAATCTGGTGCTTGTGCTAGGTCACACAGGTAGCCCAGTGGCAGAGCCAGTTTTAGAACCTGAAACAGGCTGACCCCAGAAACTATGCTCCGACCATTTTGCAACACTGCCTCCGTTGGTAACAAGTGTGACTTACTTGTGACTTTTAAGTCTTTAAACCCAAAAAGCAAATCCCCTTTCTCTTTACATTTCTCCTTTGTATTATATGCTGTTCCTCTAGCCTTATTTCATAAGTCAATCTCAAATATTTCGACATAAGAAGCACTTTAACCTGGAGCACAGAAGTGCTATCATATATAACCAAAAATCTCAGTGCAAAACTACACTTACCAGTAGTACAAGTCCCAAGGACATGAAGATGGCACACACAAACATCCCACTCATTCCTATGAGAAACAGAGAGCGTCGCCCTGCCTTCTCCACAAGGAATACCTAGGAAAGTTTTAAAATGTTACTGACTTAAATAGTTTTTGCTGCCAAAGAGTCACTTTAATTCATACAGCTGGAAGGAGGCAGTTCTATAATCCCATTTTACAGATGTGGAACTGAGTGGGGAAGTGACTTTTGCCTCAGGTGGCTGAACTTGGTCTCGGTGAGCAGAGGTAATCATAGATACCTGCTTCATTTAATCACATTGATTTGAACAGGCCATTCTGGAGAACGAGCCACAACCTTACCATCACTCTGCAGTTATCACCTGAGTACAATATTAAGAGGCTGTATATCTCAGATCTCTTCCAGTAGGTTTGTTGAACATTTAAAATGGCTCTACATAAAAAAAGGACATTAATTTATCTTTTGGTAATTATCCTGTTATAAGTACAAGGTTTCATGAACTGCAGACACCTGTAATAGTATAACTGTTGGGTTGTCAGCCATTCTCATCCAACTTTCTCACTGCTAGTAAGGTCAAATTATGACCACTCATTTGGCAACTTACAGAATTTGATCACTTTACCAAATAGATCTGCATTTTTCTGATGTGCCTAAATATATTTAGTGCTGGAAGTGAATTATCCATTTGAAAAGATAAGACTTTAAAGCAAAACTTTAAGTGCTTTCTTATCCTAACTCAGGAGATATATCATTGATACCTTTAGGTCTGTGGACCTTTGTGTTAATGGTTAACATTTACCAATTAGTCAAGACCAATGTTTGTTAAATAGACTCTTCCTGCTTGATCCTTAGAATACTGCCAAGGTTGGTGAATCACATCTAAATATTATCTGTCATGATTTCTCACTTCAATGAGTAAATTGGCTTGGCTCATAGATCTATTAGTAAATCAATAGCAATCCAGTACCCTGGAGCTATGGCTCTGAAGATATCTAAGAAACATTTGTGTTCACCTAGAGTGAAAGCCCCTTTCACTTCAGAGGTGTTTCACATTTGAGTTTCAAATCACTTCAGGATGATGAGCAAAGAGCCCACACTTAGTGCTGAGAAGGTAGTCAGAAAAACAAGTCTTGTCCAAGTTCATACCATTTCTCTATTTAATTAGACTCTGTAAATATGACTTTCAAAATTGGCTTGATGACACCATGTCAAGCTGTCAAGAAGATAAAAACATTTCTTCAGGAATAAGGGCTTTTACTGTGTTTCTTCTGTTTCTGAACAATTATTATTAATAGGATAATAAATTCTAAACTCACTCCTTAAGGATGGAGATGTCTGCCTGACCAGAACCCTTGTCTTTGCTCAAGACCATGTGTGTCATGCAGATCCTGGATGTCTCCTTGGAGTTTAGTAGCTACTGCTTCTCCTGTCAAGCCTTCTGTGTCCCTGTTCCTTCCACATTTCTTCCTGTTTTGTTTTCTCTCAGGTTTACAGTCCCTCTTCTACTGGCCCACTAGTGTGGAAGAAAATATGGAATGTGGAAACATAATTCATCATGGAAATCAGAAAGTCTTTCTTTTCCCAAATATTCAGGAAAAAATTGATTATGTCCCTTCCAAGTTGGTGAAATATTAATATCTTATCAATGCATATTCCTATTTGCATATCTTTATGTGAAAGGATACACAGAATTCAATTTAGGGGAGAGAAATGGGGTGACTGAAGGACTATACTTTTTGTACTTTTTGAGCCTTAAAACAACTTTTCAAAAATAAGTATAATTAAAAATTTTAACTGTTGTATGTAGTCCTGGAGGGTTAATTAGATGATTACAGATGATTTTTAAAGTGTCACTTATCTGCTTAAAAACTTTCACAGAATAAAGGGATAAACTCTAAAAGGTCATATTCAAAATAATCAAGAAACTCAAAACTCTAGCTGGGTTGGTGGGGAGGGGGGTAGTAGTTTCCTTTTAAGGCATTTACAGTTTGGGTTACCCAATTTTGACAACCTGATGCCTTAGGTTGGCAAATCCTATTACATATAAAATGTTTTAAGCATGATCTCTATATTAGGAAAATATGTTGACGTAGGATTTGTAAAAAATATACCGACAAAAGAATATGAGTAGCCTTTGGATTACATCCCAGTAACAGGCCTTCATTGATTTCAAGTGGCCTTTTGGCTTGAACAGGCATTATCTCTAAAGGCATGTCTACAGAATGGCTGGTGCTCCCTTGTTATCTGTTCTCCCTCCTCTTTCCAAGGTCCAGCACTGTTTAGTGTAGTCTGGACAAATCTACTTTTTGATCTAGGTAGCCAGCCTGTAATTTATTGACCACCCTAAGGTAATAGTTAAAAGTCCATGTGCAGAGCAGAAAAACAAGTGACTAGAGTATAGTGAATATAACATGGTGACCAGCATTGAAAGGCACAAGCTTTTAGAATATCCTGCATTCAAATATGAAAATAAATCCAATTATCCTCATTTTAGAATGAATGACATGAGTTGGGAAGTTTTAGGGTTTTTTTTTGTTGTTGTTGTTTGTTTACTTTAATTCTTAGAGTGTTTATGTTAAATATTATTGTCAAGATGCTTATTCCTTATATAAGGTATTCAGTCTTGAGAAGACTACATGACCTTTCTCCCTTGTCAGAAAAAAAATAACATTTCAAAACTAACAACATTTCAAGTTATATCACTTCTACTCCATCTCTTATAATATCACATACACTTTTTTTGTATCACCAGAAGTTATATCCTCATGAGCTATCTGGAAGCTCTGCCAATTAGCCTAATATCATAAGAATTTGCTGAGTCTGTTTAACTCTGTTATAGGCATAGATATCTGTTACAGAAGACCTTTTTTAAAAAAAGCATTTTTGCCAAGACATCAGGATAAAAAAAAGAATTTCAACCATGGAGGGAGAGGAACCTAGGTAGAAGACCCAATATTGATAGAAATGAGAACTGTCACCTGATCCCAACAGATTCAAGTACAGAGCAAAGGAGAAGGAATCCAGGTATTTACACAAAGAAATCTTCTTTGCCCCAAGTGAGTTATTAATCTACAAATGTGTGACTACATGGCATCCCAGCAAATGGAGACAGCCAGTGATCCACCTGTTCAGCTCTGCTTACTGATTTATTATACACCCAATAAATGTAAACAATAAATCACTAGTTGCTTTTAGCTCACAAGGTAGCCTCTTCCCCCACTTCTGAACTGAGGAACAAGCAGCATATTTATCCAGAGTATTAACTCACAGACACAGCAGTGAAAATCGTGTTGATGGTTCCAACTCCAATGGTTGCATAAACAGGTTGGCTGATTCCAGCTGTCTGGAAAATGCTGGTTGAATAGTAAAAGATCTGTAAAGTAATAGCAATTTAGCCTTAATAAAGAATTCTAGCACTGATAGCTTGAAAGGAAGAAATATTTTAGGTTGTTTATTTTTAGTTGTTTCTATTGAACCATGATCCCTAGAACACCCTAAAGATTTTATCTCTCCTCTCCTTACAGACAATGAGAAACCACTATCAATCTTTAGTATTTAAAACTTCTGATTGCTTAAAATTCTCCTTAAATTCAGCTGAAAACTCTGAATCTGCATTATCCTGACATATACGTTTTTAATTTTTAAGTTTTTTTAAGTTATAAAGTATATACAAAAAAGTACACCCAATGTAAGTATACAGATTAATTTTCACAAACTGAACACATCTGTGTAACCAGCACACAGACCAAGAGTAATTTATTACCAGTCCTCCAGAAGCCCCCAGAACATCCCCCTATTTTTCCAAGGAAACTCTTCAACTTCTAATATCATGATAAATTTTACCTACTTCTGTACTTACTATAAATGGAACCACACAAAGTGAATTATTTGGTATCAGGCTTCAACATTATCTTTGTGAGAACCATCTACATAGTTGTGTGTATTTGTACACTGTTCATTATCATTGATTAGTTTTTTTGGTATTAATATACCACAATTTATTACCCAATCTACTACTGATGGATAGTTAGCTAGTTGTCATTTGGGTGAATATGAACGGTGCTGTTATGAACATTTTAGCACAATCCTTTTGATGAAATACGTACACATTTACATCTAGGAATAGAATTACTAGACTATAGTGCATGCCTATGCTCAGCTTTAATAGATACTGGCAAATGATTTTCCAGAAAAGTTGTATCAATTGACACTCTTACCAGTGTGCATAAGAATTCTGGTTGCTATTGTTTTCAATCCAAAATTTTTCACTAATCTCAGTGAACGTGGAGAAATCTTCAAAATCTCTCTAATAGTGTTTATTAATAATTATGTTTTTACATCTTTTGTAGGCCTTTCTGTCATTCTGTCATCTTTCATTCTTTCTCCACTTAAGTCATCCTGTTCCTGGCACCTCTTCTTGTACAGATAGGGCTAATGGAGAAGGACTGTGCAGATTATGCTCACTGAGGAGTATCTTACAGCACATTGCACACTATCCCACATTTTTAGGCTGCCCAACAGCCTCAGTTCAACATTTCCTGGATGCCTATAAGTCAGGCACTGGGACAGTAGCTAAAGCAGGGAGGTTCAGAAAGATTAAATATTGTTCCTTTGGATATACAGGCTGAACTAATTTGGTCTCCAAATGCTGAAGTTCTGTAAAATGTTAGATTGAAATGAACATCTAGGACCCCTTAAAGGAGGACAGAGATGACAGAAGAGTAGTATTCAGTGTGTTGAGTGAGGTTCAGGTCTCCTTTTGCTTCAACTGATGTAAATTACTTTCTTTACCTCTCCCAAGGCTTTGCCCATCCGCAAGCCACCCCCTTGTGGATCTGTGATTGGCTCATTATAGAGGAAGCCCAAAGCACATTTTTAACAGCAGTAAAAGGGGGTAAGTGATTTTTTTAAATCTAGTTTTTTTTTTAGCAAATGCTTATTTTTCTTCTTTTAGTAGCTAATTGTTGCCAGTACAACAATTTTAGTCTGTGTAATACAATGATTTCAGTTCAAAACGTAAAAGCTAGCTAGTTTAATATTCAGTATGTTTTCCAGTCATGTCTGGTCTACTATCCTCAGTCACCAGTTTCATGCCAGTTCACACTACTATTTATTTTGTTTGCTGTCTCCTCAAATAGAGTGAAAGTTTCTTGCATGGCAGGAAACTTTTCTGCAGCTAGCTATTTGGTTCTATCTATCTATCTATCTATCTATCTATCTATCTATCTATCTATCATCTATTTATTTAAAGTAGGCTTCACATCCAGTGCAGAGCCCAATGTAGGGTCTGAACTCACAGTCCCAAGATCAAGATTAACAGCCCCATGATGCTCAATCAACTAAGCCACCTAGGTGTCCCTAGTATTATTGGGTTAAACAGATGTTGGAGGTGGAGGGTTGGTGGGAGGAGGATGCCTGGGTGGCTCTGTGGATTAAGCATCTGCCTTCTGCTCAGGTCATGATCCCATCGTCCTGGGATTGAACCCCACGTGGGGTGTCTGCTCAACAAGGAGCCTGCTTGTCCCTCTCCCTGCCCCCACTCATGCTCGCTCTCTCTTTTAAATAAATAAAAATCTTTTAAAAAAACTAGTCTCGAGCTCACGTCTAACACATCACCCTATCTTAATTCTTTGCATATCAATTATCATAGTGACTGACTTCCTTGATTATTTATACATTTGTTTGTCTGTCATTTCCTTTTCCCACCAGTATAAAAGTTGTGTAAAAGCAAGGAGTTTACAATAAAAACTACAAATATTTGTTGAATGTATGAATAAATAAATGGATGTATGTAGGTACTAAAGTTTGTAAATAAGATAAATTGCAAATAAAAAAGTTATAGTGGAAAAAAAAAAAACAATAAAAATACATAGATAAAGGGAACCATGAACTCATTTTGCCTAGGCTATCAGAAATCCTAAATTTGCTACTCAACTCCAGAAGCCCCTTGTAATTTAGGGCATTTTAAAAATATAATTATTCTCTTTTTCCCTCTTTTGTGTTAATTATGATTTTTGCCTTCCATCTTAATAGATACACAGTACCACTGATTATTGACATTTCAAAAAACTCTAAGCCAATTTTAGGAAGTGGATGAGGCAAAACAAAGAAAATTAATGCTTACTCAATATCTGTTTATTATAGTACAATGTGATGTCAACATTTTAAAATGCCTTTTTGTTATTTAAATTCATACCCCTTTCTTTCTCTATTTTAATTCACTTTGCTTTTAAATTAGAGAGTATTCTTAAACTTACCCCATTGATTCCAGAAAATTGCTGAGCCAAGTGCAGCATCAGTGCCACTAGAATAGGCTGTCTGTAGCTGGAATTGGTGAAGAGTTGAATTATGGAGACTACTTGTTCACTTGATGCTTCTTCCTTTTCTTTTCTCATCTCAGTGATGTCTTTGGTAATATCAGCATCTCCTCTGAGTCTTTTCAAGCCTGTCCCCCAAAATGATCAGGTTGGCACAACTCAGGTCAAAACAGAAGTAAATTATAGTTCCACATAGCCCTATCTATGGCTTTACAGCATAAGTGCTGACATTCCTTTTTGTTAAGTTAAATCCTGTTTTTAAATTTAAAAAAAATTTGGTTTTATCTAATGACCAAACAAATCCCTGATCTTTATTATCATAGAAGCATAATGCAAGTAAAAATCTTTTAGAAGCCTCTGGTTGAGTCCAGTACCCTGCACGTGGATTTCCCATTTGGGCTCCAAGTGTTTAAGGGTTTAAAATGGCATGCATGAATCATATTGAAGTGGTCTTTCACATTCTTCTTACATGTAGTCATTGACTTCATCTGGAAAACCCTCATACCAGCTTAACCAGTAAACATTCATGTACACTGCTTTTCATTGGCTAATAGTTCCAAAACACTAGGAAGAAAAAAAAAAACAGACTTACTTTTCTTTGCTTTGACTTCTTCATCCAACTTAATGTAAAGGTATCTGGGGCTTTCTGGACAGAAAAGAAGCAGCAAAGACTGGATGATGGCTGGCACACCAGACAAACCAAGTAGGATATGCCACCGCTCATGATTGCCCAGGATAAAGTTGAGGCCAACAATCTGAAAAGGCAGGGAGGAACCATGGCAACTGCACAACACTTTGAGTCTGCCTTCTGTAACCATTTGTTGAAAAAAGTACATTGGTTATTTAATAGTAATCCCTGATAACTTTGATTCAGGTATGTCCAAAGCAGAAACTATTAGTAGCATGTCTTACCTTAACTAAGTTTGAGACTGTTTTATGAAAAGTTCACTTAGGTTTGTTTTCATTAACTTATGTGGGCCATTTAGGATGGGAAACAACTAAACTTTTAAGAACACATTTGACATCTAAAGCAACACCAAAAATTATGTGTAACTTTGGACCTTAAAAAATTTCTTCTTAGATTACCTAGAACTTAAATAAAATGGGATTACATAGAACAATTATTGTAATAAAAACCAGCTTTGTCATCCTTAATGCAGGGGTTTACCCTCTGATAATCTTAAGCTAGGGATTCTAGGTCTCTGAGTCCATGGGATAGAAGGCAAGCATAGAGCCAGCTGAACAAGCATAGCCAGCTGCTATGGTAATCATATATATGTTAATTTTCTAGGTAAGATGCTCAAACAAAGGAAACCCAAGAAGTCAAAAATGTGAAATTTTCTATTGTTTGAAATCTGCACAGAATAATTTAATTCTAGACTAGCTCCAGAAGTTCAAGACCTGGCATGTTGGGTCATCTCTAGTGCCAACCCTTCCACATATCCAAGGGGAGAAGTGAGGAATGGAGTACTAATAATTTAGCTTTGAGCTAAAGAGCTTAAGTTTGTATAGCATCCCCACTCCCAATAGTGGAACTAGTTTTTTTTCCTCTATGTTGGTCTACCATGAGAGTGGACTGTTAAGGAGGGAAAAGTTGGATAAAACAGAGGATGGGTGAAGTAGGGGATGGGAGTTTTTACCTGACTAATAAGAATGCCTGTGACAATGGCCAGCTGATGAAGGGTACCAAGAGCACCTCTGAGTGTGGTTGGAGCAATTTCACCAATGTACATTGGAACCAAGCCTGAAATTAGTCCTGCATAAAACATGAACATAAATGTGAAAGTGCAGCCAGGACTATCTCAATAACAATAACTTGGTTTAAGTATAATCAATATCTTAAGTGAAAGTCCCTTTCTGAGTCTGTTGGAAGGAAGACCTCTTGTCCCCAGTCATAGACAAGTTTATGCAAAGAATATTTGTTGATAAGACTTGAATGAGGTTGTAGTTGGATATAGGAATAGAAAGAAATGGTTAGTCATGGATTTACCAATCACTCATAGCGTTGCCTTATTTAGTGGAAACGATGTTAAAATTGATTTTACATCATAATGCCTTAAATTGTCTTCAGAAAAGAGACTAAAGAATGCTTTAATAATATTCTTAATCTAAACTCATGGTATCAAAGGAAATTAGAACATACCTAGGCCAATCTTTTTACTTGATAGAGATGAGAAACAGTTTATCCAAGATCACAGAGCTTTAACACCAGAACTGCAAGCCCTGAGTCTCCACAATGCGGAAGTACCTCAAGATTACTGTTCTAGTGGTGAGGGAAGTACGGACAGGTGGAAGAGGTTAAGGAATTCAAGGGCTCTTGCCCCAATTACTCCCACCAGAGCATTATCTTCCAATAACGGGCTTTGGAAAAGATTCTGGTGCTTAAAGGAATTAAAAAAAAAAAAAAGAAAAGAAAGAAAAGAAAAAAAGAAAAGAAAAGAAAAGAACTAGGCAATCCAGCCTTCTATAGCTTTCTTAAATACAGATGTAATCAGTCAGGTTGGAAATGGTGGAGTATCCAGCCATTTGCTGAGTGCATAAAAAGGTCAGATGTTATCAATAAGCAAGGCTGAAAGTAATGTTTAGCATTTCCTTAAGAATTTAAAAATAAGACTTGTCAGAGTCTTCCTCTTAGAGAGTTTCTCTACAAAAATGGAAATGTATGGTTTTTGTGTAAAGAATGAATCTGGGAACCATATCAGTATATTTTTAATGCTTTAAATTGTTCTTAATATCTCACGTGAACAGTTGCATGATTGATATGGCTTCTGAATTTTGGCTGACATTTACATATAACTCTAATGCGTGGTCTGTTGATCTTAAATAAGAAAAAGCCTATTTATTTGGCCCTATTCCAAGCTATACTCTCTCTGTAATGCTTCCTATTGTCTCTCCAGAACATAATAATGCAGATAAGTTCACAGGTCTGAGTTCACATAATTTTAAAGTCAAAATGTATTTCCTATAATTTTTAGCAGTTTTAATGCTCAGAGCAGGATGAGACATTTTAAAAGGTAGGTGGGAGTACAAATTACTTGGCAATGCTAGTTATAGGTTGCTCCACATCGTTTTATAGCATTTCTTTTCAATTTTCCCAAAAATATTTGTGATTTTTTTTCATAATGTATTTTTAAAAAATGGAGAGAGAGGAAGGAAGAATCATGATGATTTGGACCTCCTTGATAGTGTTATTACTTGCATTTCACAAAAGATCCACTTAATATATCTAAGGCCAGACAGAAACAGTGCCAGAATTAATTCATTCTGAATTTAAATATCTCCATATGTGGGTTGACTCTTCACCTTGATAAAACTACTCCAACTTTCAGCTACTTGTATTATCATTGAAAGTAATGAAAAGAGACTTTTAATTAAGTTGTTAACTTGTGGGTAATTTAGACTTTTGTTTCAAGGGATCACTGAAGACACATGGAGCTATATAAGTCTTTTCTCTTTGCAAGTAAAAGCTGTAAACATTTGATAGGTCGTTTTGTGCTCTTGTACTTCCCCCCCCCCCCCCAGCCCCAGTGAATATTAGTGCTTTGATTTGCAACTTTATGATTTGGGACAATGGATTAAAACCCTGGCTCCAAACCCATCAGAATCAGGGATTCACTGGCATTGAGAAGTTAAAGATTTGGCTATTTTAGAGATTAAGTGATCTTCCCTTTGTTCAGACCTCTGCTGATTAAATTTGCTTCTGAATGTTTGAAACTTCCAAAAGTTTGAAAAGCTGTTTCAAGAACTAGTGATTCCAGATATTCAGATATGAGGTTTTCAAGGGGAGCATCCTTCATCCATTATGAACTCCCCTACCAGCTGCTCCTGCCTAACTACCTCTACCTGTGGTCACAGCCACTGTAATGCTTCATCCAGCCACATCTGGAATCTGGTTGTTAAGGGAATGTGTTCTGAGAGATGGGCTTGGGTCAAGGTCTTTCTAGGAAGGAGAGACAGAGACTCAAGTGGCCAAGTAAGCCGTAAGAGCTGAGTCGGGGGTTCTGGGCGTAGCAGTGTGCCACTATCTACTGTACAACAGGAGCAATAACAGCAGCTAGCTTTTCTTGGCAGCTTAGTACAGGCAGATTCTATGCTGAACATTTCACATGTATTCTCATAAGTGCCCTACATGGTGGATATTATCTCCTTCATTTAACAGATAAGGAAACTATGAGTTAAATAATTTATCTGAGATTATACCACTAGAAATTGCCATGAACAAGAAGAAGCTTTGCAACTCCCACTTAATGGTCCCAAACCTCCCTGACTCAGGACTTCAACTTTATGCTATTGCCTTTCACTTTTGTGATGCCACCTCTGGCTCAAAAACTTCCCTACATGTTACCTTATCTGTCTTTAGAATAATTTTCAGGCAAGTAAGTGTGTGTGTGTGTGTGTGTGTGTACATGCACAGGCATGACTTACCACAGTAGAGTCCTGATAAGCTTCTTCCTGAAATTATAAGAATGTGAGATGGTCCCAGTTTTGAAAACCCCATCAGGAGAGCTCCAGCTAATGAGAGAATGTTGGCTACCAACATGGCTTTGACTCTGAAATTTTAAAAAGCAAGGATTACAAATTCAGCATCAAAACTTGATAAAATTATTTTCTTTCAGAGTATGCTATTTACCTAAGAGCAGTTATTGTAATTTTGCTGAAAAAGTTAGTTGGGGAAATTTAAACCATGATTGCTAGTTTATCGGTGGACTAAAGCATTAACAATAATGTTTATAATGAGAAAATCTGATTTTCATGCATGTGATGTCCACATTTTAATAGAGGTGATTCAATTGTGGCAATGACTAGTTTGATTTAAGATAACACTTCTCAAATTTTTCAGTTACCTAATTAAGTTTTCTACAAATTGATTTTTTTAAGTAACAACTGTGTGGTGATAGCTACATTCAACACTGTAATTCTAACCTATTACGTCCTCTTTTTTCCCCTCTTTCTTCCTTCCTCCCTCTTCCTTTCCTTTCCTTCCCTTCTCTTCCCTTAACCTTTCCTTCCATTCCCTTCCATTCCCTTCCCTCTCCTCTCCTGCCCTGCCCTTCCCTCCCTTCCCTTTTTCTTCTTTCTTTCTTTCTTTCTTTCTTTCTTTCTTTCTTTCTTTCTTTCTTTCTTTCTTCTTTCTTAATGGTGCAGGTTTTTAGTTGACATAGATGATGTAAGGAACTTTCAAAGTTAAATTTGTTTCGATAAGAATTAGTTGGAAGTAAATTAAAAGATACTTTTACTTTAGCTTTATCACAGAGAATTATAATTACTCATATTTTAACATTGTATGTAATGATATTTTTAGAACCTATGAATTAATGTTAACCAATGTAAAATATATAAAGCTGACAATAGCAACAAAAACATTATTTTCAAAATTAACCATATGAAAATTAACAATATTTATGATGTCTGATACTTTTTTTCCTATTAAATGGGAAGGTGGGGCACAAAAAACTTCAGAGTTCAATAAAGTTCAATAGATGATAAGGCAGCCAGTAAAAGAATCTGAATGGACAGGTGTGGAAATACTGTGCCACAAAGAGATGTAAGCATCTTGTTATGTCCTGTGTTGAATAGGTGAGCTTTTCTTAAGCAACTTTCTTTAATACCAGACTTTTTTTTCCCCGGAGAGTAAAACTATGTGGCCTAATACTACAATGATTGCCCAACAAGTATGTGATAGGCTTAGTAATATCCCCTAAGAGTTCACATCCTAATCTCTCAGACTCTGGGAATGTATTACCTTATATGGTAAAAGAGATTTTGCAGATGTGATTAAATTAAGGGTATCGAGATAAAGAGATTATCTCAGATTATCCTGACGGGCCCACTGATGGAATCACAAGTATCCTTATAAGAGAGTGGCAGAGGAGAAGATTATGTAATGGCAGAAGTAAGATTGGAATAATGTGCTTTGAAGATTGAATAAGGGGCCACAAGCCAAGCAATATAGGTGACCCCTGGAAGGTGGAAAAGGTCAAGGAAATGAGTTCTTCCCCCAGAAGCTCCAGAAGGAACCAGCCCTGCTGACACCTTGGCTTTAAAACCAAGTGAAGCTGAATTTGAGCCTCTGACCTCCAAAACTGTAAGAAAATAAACTTGTGTTGTTTTCAACCACTGTTTACGGTAACTCATAAGAGCAGTAATAGAAAGCCAACATATGAAAAATGTCAACTACTCAAAGGGAGGGGAAACAGTGATTTAGAGCTGGCCTGTTTCAGAGCTGCAGAGCAGAAAAAGACAGGGCTATTTCTCTGTGAAGTGCCCTTTCTCTACATAAGGACAGAGGGCAAACAAATTTAAAATTTTACCTTGAGAAATTGTTATTAGCTGGCTAGTAGTATATATTCTGTTAGGAAGTATATTCTGTTAGGGAGAAAAACTCTTAAAAGAGATAGCCTGAAAGTATATTTGATGCCAAATTGCTCTAAAGTCCGTCTTCCTTACCATCAATGGATGCTAGAGCACTTTGCACTACTTAAAGGATTTTTAACTTCTGCTTAGGCAATAGCCTAGAATAACCCAAAAATACATGGAATTATTGAATCAGGGAGAAAGAAATATATTTCTAAGTATATTTCTTTTAATTTTGCTCCAAATACTCCTGTTAGCATAGGTTTTAACACTGTCATCATCGTCTTCATCATCATTGTCATCAAAGTAAGGCTATATTCAGTACCTGCTTACTCTGTGCTAGGCATTGTGATAAGTCCTCTATCTGCGCTCTCATAATTTTCACAATAATGCCACGAGTTAGGTATTATTTTGTTCCCTTAGTGTAGATGGATGGGGAAACATCTTAGAGAACTTAAGTAACTCACTCATTTTCACACAGCTAATAAGTGACAAGCTAGAGTTTGATGTGTGTGAAAACAAAGGTTAATGCTTGGTTTAAGTGAGTTGTTTTTTTATACAAAAGAAAGAACCCATTCAAAGGAAGGCTATGTATACCTTCCTACACTTAACAGTAGTGTGGATTGCACAGACCATGGTCTCCTCCACCATATCATTATAATTAAATTTTAAGTGTACAGCTTCTGGAAAAAGTGACCCTGAGAAGCCAAATCTATAAAACAGTGGCCACAGACATTTATTGCCTATTACACAATTACAAGGAAAGACTTTTTTTTAAAAGCAGTAATGGAAAAATACATTTTTATTTACTTATTTTTAACAGAGCACTGACTTAGTAAGGAAAATCATGTAATTTCTCAGTGAATCTTCCTAGTAAAATTGTCTTATAGGAGGCTGAACTCTTTTGTCGTAAATTTTGACGTTAAAATTATCAGTTTTGTGGCTGTTAATCATAGAGAATCATTTTTCTCCTGAGACTTGGAAGAAGCTCCACTTTTAGTTTACCGTAAGTCGTTTGATACATGATAATTAGACATTGATTTGGGGTATGACCATTGTTGATGATACATTCTAAGACTTGAGAGGGTATGCATCCTGTTTCCATCATGAGGACATGAATTAAATGTTTGACTACATTACTGGACCTGCCAAAAATTTCATTTCTGAATGAGATGAGAGCAAGGGCTGGCTGGTTTGTTCTTTCTTTCTTTCTTTCTTTCTTTCTTTCTTTCTTTCTTTCTTCCTTTCTTTCTTAGCTCTATGCCCAACTTGGGACTTGAGCTCATGATTCTGAGATCAAGAGTCAGGCTCCACCAACTAAGCCAGTAAGGATGTGAAAAAGTATAAAATATCAATAGCTGCCAAAAGAATTGGTTTGCTCATATTTTAAAATTTAACTTTGCTTAATTTTGTTTATTTTAGAAATAGTTAATATAGAAAAATTTTCAATGACTGCTTAAACCAGTTTGGTTCAAATTAAAATGATTTTTAAAATTTTTAAACAATTAAAGTCAGTTTATGAACCCTGTAATTTGCAGATTCTGATTTTAAGTTCAGCTAAATACCAGTAAATTGATAAAAACGTGAGAAACTGACTATTTTATGGTATTATTGGTATTCATTATTTAAGAAAACTTCTTGTAGTCTTATTATATAAAATCTCCAGTGCAAGAGGAGGAAATTATCAGAATTTTAATAACAAGAGAGATAAAATTATAATTTAAAATAGGAATTTTAAAAACTAAATGAATTGTAATCCAGAATTACTAAAATAGTTATCTATATCACTTACATCTTAGAAGGTTTTTGCATTTTCTAAATTTTCCATACTTGCATATTTATTCTTATCATCAGGGAAAAGATAATTAATAAAATGTGGCCTCAAAACAGAAAATGAATATAAAAAACCAAACATTTGATTTTCTGATTTTATTTCCTCTCTATGTGTGGCTATGGAATCTCAATTTAGTATGCCACATGACTAAGTGAATGAAATTTAAGTGTAAAGGAGTTTCGGTGATTTTTTTTTTTCAGTGACATTTTAATCCAAGACACCTGATTAAAATCAGAGTAAAGAAGTGGAAACACTATTTGCTTCGTTTCTAGTTGGGGCTTTGAGATAGCAGTAGCAACAGCTAGAAACCCATGCCAAGTATATGGGACAAATGGGAGTTAGGGATATTGACTGACCTTAGGACTTGACTGATCCAAATGACAAATTCTAACTTGAAAATGAAAAACTGGATGTCTGAGAAATGAGAAATGGAGTGATTTGGTGAAGCAAACAATGGATTCCCTGGTTAAAAATTTTACTCTTGGCTCTGCCATTGAGTTCCTGAGTTAACCATTTGTATAGTGGTTTCTTAATATGTTCTTTTTTTTTTTTTCTGAAGATTTATTTATTTGAGGTGGGGAGAGCATGAGCAGAGGGAGGTGAAGGAGAGTATCTCCCAACAGACTCCCAAATGAGTGTGGAGCCTGACTCGGGCTGGATCTCAGGACCCTGAGATCATGACCTGAGCCAAAATCAAAAGTCAGACACACAACCGACTGAGCCACCCAGGCACCTTGATATGTTTTAAAACTAACAAATTTAGAGAATCAAATCATTTGTGTGGAAATACACACAAAACTCATTTTTGCTATAAATGCTTCCATGATTAAGCAAACTAGGGCAACAGCTTTCTATATTATTTGTTCTAAAACCAACCTAATTCATAGAGTCATGAATTGAGAAGCAACTCTGGAACTATTCCACAAAAATAAAGACAATTTCTTTCTAAACAAAGTCTTAGAAACCTCCAATACTAAAGTTTCCATGTTTATGCTTATTTATGAAACTTGCCTACCTTCCAATCCGATCCCCTAGCCATCCACCGAAGAATGATGCAATCATTCCACCAATTGCAAAGCTAGACACAGACAAGGACCAGAGCATGGTGACAAGGTTCGAAGATGCTGTAGTCTCTTCCTCTGCCAAAGGGGTTGGTATTGAATCCATTAGGCATGGGGTTGTGGGCAGTTCCTTTGTACTGTTGATAGTATAGTTGTTGATAGCTTTTCGGTCATCCAGTGGAATACCCAAAACGTATGCATAATGGGATATTATTATCTGAAGAAATAAAATAAAGAAAAGTAGCTCCAACAGTTCAAGTAATCTATACACTTTTTGTTTATTTTTCCTTTGGAATGTTTGTCAGGTGTTTAAAAGGGTCATCCCCATTATGTGTATTATATACATACAATCACGGATAGATTTACTTATAGTTGACTATATCCTGTAAAACAGAGGTTGCAAATTCCAGTGCCCACAGGAACTAGGCAGGAACAAATTAAGTGAAGGAGAAACTTGATAACCAAAGGACTGAAGTACTATGTCTATTACTGAAAATATAATAGCAAGTGGGCAAGATTATAGCACTGGAAAGCATTTGTCCCACCTAAAGAAGGAAGCTGCAAATGTGACACTAGTGTTCCATAACCTGTAAGTTTTAAAAAGAAGCCAGAAATCTGGGTTTTATGTAAAATTCTTCAAGTTTTAAATGCAGGAAACTATTAAAATTGAAAATATTCTGCAGGCTAAAAAGATAACACTTTTCACACCAGTGTTACCTGTGCACAGCAGGGTTTAAATAGATTGATGCAACTATTCAAATAGAAGCATAAAAATAGCTATAAGAAAAAAAGATTGGGAAAGATGAAGCCAAAAATAAAGTTAGTATACAAAATCTAAACTCTAGGTGCTATTTCCTTGCTAGAAGTATGCTATAAATTTAACGATAAACTTCCTAGCAGCCAGCGCAAAGAGAGGAAACCAATCATGTTGATGAATTTGATGAATTTCAAAGATAAAAATAGCTGAGTGGCCCCTGAGAAGGGATTAAGACCTGAAGGACTTTTCCCGTCTGTGTCCTCATAGATTTCTGTATGTAATAGAATGAACAGTATTCAAAACTAAATTTCATTGAGCCATAGTTTATGATGCGTTTCAATAGAGGCAAAGATCCTACCAATGTGTAATTGAGTAAAGGTACAGCCTTTGGGCTTCCTTTCTTGTCCTTCCTCTCAGGGCTGATTGGGTCACTCTTCAGCGGCCTGGGAGGACCTCTGACAAGGGCCTGGCATGAGCTGCCAGTCATGGGCAAAGCCCTATGTGATGAAATCTGCTCAGTGAGGGACAGAATTGATATCCTATTATGATAAAAGAACTTTGACCAAGACATTTGCCTCATTAGTAGACCATTCTACATGGATAATAATGCATAGAAAAAAGGCTGGAAGATAATATTCAAAATGTTCTCAGCTGTTTGCTCTATGTGGTAGAGTAAGTATAGGTGATTTGTTGTGAATACTTTCTGTAACAGGTATGTGTAGTTTTTATAATCATAAAAAAGTATAATTTTAAAATCATAAAAAAGTATAAATTTAAAATTTATAAATTTAAAATACCCTAAAATAATGCCACGTGTCATTCCACTAACATATGACGCTAGATGACTATTCTTTAATGGTGTTTAAGTGGCTTGTTAAACACAGAAAGAGGGGCTCTAGAGTGGGCACCAAGCCTGATGCCAGTGCGGGATCCATGTTTTAAAGGACTTGTATTGAAGGAGGGGGACCTTTAATTTTCCCTCTCCTTCCCTGGAGAGGATGATTTAAGTAGGAAATGAAAAGGTTTACACAAAAAGAGGCTCTTCTGATTCCAAATTATGCTGATGTTGAACCAAATTTTAAGAAGGCTGCTAAGTTGGCACGTGTTGTCATCACTCACAGAAAAAAGCTGTGGCCCCCAGCATTGTTATCTAAATCTTTCAATCTCATGATAATATGGTGCATCCAACCAAAGCATATCTTCTGGCCCAAGGAGCAACACTTTTCAGGTGACAGACTAGAGCCAGTACACATTTTTTTTTTTTTTTGGAGTCCAACATTGTAAGGGAAGCAGATGAAATATGATGTATTCATAGAAAGCACCCAACAAATGCTTGTGCCTTTAATCTTATGCCTCTTCTCCCCCACCGCCCCACAAGCTTCTCTCCTCTTTCTCTCTTTACTCACCAAACACTTCATTGAACACCTTCTTTATGCCAATCATTGTGCTTGACATTGGTTACAGGAGGAAGAAAAAGACGTCGATCCTTCCCTAAATGCCTCAATTAGAGCAAAGGGAATGAAGTCCTGGTTCCCCCACTTACAGGCTGTGGGAGTGAAGAAAAATGACATCCCCCTCCTATTTATTCATTGGGTACCAGAGTAGGGATGCACAAAATAAATGAGGCAAATGATAGGAATTATTCAAGATCTTTAAAAACCCCCATCCAGATAGTTATTGTGGTGAAAATCCAAATTTTGTTGGACTTCTTGACTATGATTTAGCAGTTTTATATTATCTTTTTTAAAAAGATTTTATTAAAAAAATAAAAGATTTTATTTATTTATTCATGAGAGACAGAGAGAGAGAGAGAAGTAGAGACACAGGCAGAGGGATAAGCAGGCTCCATGCAGGGAGCTGACCTGGGACTCCATCCTGGGACTCCAGGATCATACCCTGGGCCAAAGGCAGTGCTAAACCACTGAGCCACCCGGGCTGCCAAGTTTTATATTATCTTATTTTGAATTATCTAGGGGAGATAGAATTAGGGGGGGAAATGGGGCCTTTTTAGTGTTAGGTCTCCTAAAGTTTTTCATCTGGCCTCAAATTGGGCATAATAAGGTTTCTGGAGGTTAGACTGGGACAACATATGTTAAAGCACCCAATGCACAGTGAGTTGGTGCCCAGTGAAAGTTTGTGCATAAAATGAATCATATCCTTTTATTCCTCTGGCTTATTTCCCAACTTTTTTTTTTTTTTTTTTTTTTTTTTTTACTCACGTATGGCTCGGAGCTCTAAATACACTCTTAAGTTTTTTAAAACAACATCTGTAGGCACGTGGTATTCTGGCTTGAGTTTTCAGTGAGCTCAGCGAACAGCAGAGTCAGAGATCAAGAATTGTTTATTACCTTTTCTTTCTTTGTGAGGGTTATTGAGTAGTCAAGGCCAAGTTATCAGCTTTGAAGCCATGCACACAGTGCCTGACAGAACACTGGGATTACCCCATGTTCCCCACGTGGGTACACTTTATCTCTGTGTATGAGGAACACAGATCGTTCAGTCACTGACAGAAATCGCCAAAAAGAGATTTGAATTGTATGTGTTTCACTTGCCTCTTGAGGTGCATTGATCACGCCAATGTCATATCCAAACTGGAAGGAGCTGAGTGTAGCGGTGAAGACAGTGAGAACCAAGGTCCCGGTGATCTGTGGGTAATGAAACACAAGGCTGGGAAACACTAGGCAGTTTCAGTTACCTACCCTCCTGGCAGTCTGTAGCTTGGACTTCTGACAGGCTCCACAGGCTGGTTCTTGCTCCTTGCTACTTATACACAGTGTGCCCTATGCTCCCAGCAGAGTCATTCAGGAATGCAAGAGCCATCCGTCAAGTCCTCTACATTGCTAAAGCTGAGAAAAGTTTGGGACAATTTCTTCTGAGACAGGAAGGAACCAAACCTCCTTTTCCATATATATATATATATATATATATATATATATATTTATTTATTTATAAAAATATATTTATATTTTATTTATAAATTTATATTTATTTATAAATATATTTTATAAAAATATATATATATATTTAAGATTCAAAATCAAGATTGAGGACTAGAATTGCTGCTGACCAAAGGACACTGCCATGATAAAAACAGCCAATTTGTATCATTGGGAGAAGCCAAAGAGGCACTAGTAACAGAGATAGAGAGGTCTGGGCATTGCTACAGTACAAAAACACCTCAAAACTCATACAAGAGGCATCACTCAGGCTTTATCATGACCGCATCAATATCCAAGTAAGGATAATCTTCAAGATTTGTAACTAATTGAACCTAGAATTATGGACTGAAGGAAGTTATTTTCTTTCCAACTCCATGTAGCTACAAAACTCAGTGTAGAAAGGGACAGAGTATTCACTCCCTTCAACTCATAAATACATGTCTAACCTTCTTAGAGAAATCCCATCATACTTGTAGAATCATATATCAGGATATTTGATTCAGCACTCTGTGTGTGTGTGTGTGTGTGTGTGTGTGTGTGTGAGAGAGAGAGAGAGAGAGAGAGAGAGAGAGATAGCAAGATAGAAAAAATTGTAGAAAGAACCAAAATGTCATTCAATGGAAAATGGCCAGATAGGTTCAAAAACATGATACATACAACATGCCATGCTGCAGTTAAAAAGGTAATGTGATCATTATGTACTAACTTATTGTTAAGTGACAAAGGAAGGTGTGTAATCTCATCAATTTTTTGGAGGCTTAAACCTGAGTATTCCATGATTTGTGCGTGTTAAATGTAAGTCACATAATATTTTTTTGAAGAACAAATAACAAAAGGATGACCATTGAGGAATGTGCTACTAGAGAAGGGAAACAAAACAGTATTTTTTCTTTAATATTTATTATCAGACATTTTATAAGGAAATCATTTCATGTATAATATATAACTTAAATGTTTAAATAAATTGCATGGGATATTGTAGAAACTTCATTGAACAAATGAATGAGTCATATCAACATGGATTCCAGCTCCCATTTGATATTTAGGGAGTATTATGACCCAAACCACTTTTCCTATAGGATCTTCAGATTTTCTCTAAGCAGCTGGATGACTGTAAATCTCTACTCCATCATGAATAGTTTATTAGCTAAATCTCCTCGTTCCTTAATAAAGTTAGAGGTCAGAAATCTCAGTGTCATCATCAATGAAGTATTATCACAGAACCAGCCTGAGAGCCCTTGAGTTATAGAATGTAGAGGTTCTAAAACAAGACCCCCATTGGAGAGCTTGTTACTGGTGTAGCTTCCTGGTGTACTATTGGGTTGGGATGTCTGTGATGAGAATTGGAATCTGTAGGTTTGTACTCTCTTTCCACTAATTCAGAATGAATTTCAGGTGGCACCTCTGTAGGCTTTTCTTCCCAGCACCTTTCTTCTCTGAAAGGACTTAAAACTATCCCCAAAGGTATGATGATATATTATCTTGAAAGAAGCATATATATCCTATATCCATATATATCCTGAGGGAAGCATACATATATATAAAATATACATTATATTGAGATATAAATCATATATGCCTATATATAATACAATAATTACAAATAAATTCAAAGTATATTAACTGTAACTGTGTATGCACATACATACACACAATATGCTACATTGTGTATGGGATTACCAGAGATTTTGAATTATCCTTTAATATGTAACTAGATACCTAATACCTAGTGTCTCAGGCAACCAAACTAAAATGAGTTCCATTTACTTGGTTGATAGTTTCTCCTCAAATCCTTTTTCCTCTTCAGCTGTTTCCAAGGACAGGGAATTTTATCCTTTCATTTTATTTGTAGGAAGTAACCGTCATCAGCAGTGAGGGGGCCAGGGGCCACCTTGACAAGGCTTCCACCCACTTCCCTGAAAGTCTCCATCACTACAGTCTAGACAATCTGATAATGGGCGCAATGCAAACACAACTTCAAGGCCTAATACTGAATATTTCTGCCTACTGCATGCCTATTCATCGATATAGGTGATTATCTCTTTTAACTATATTGGTTTTCTCTTGCAGCTATAACAACACGTATTTGTTATTTTACAGTTCTTATAGGTCAGAAGTCTGGTATGAGTCTCACCAAACTAAAATTAAGATGTTGGCAGGCTGTGTTCCTTTTTTTGGAGGCTGTCGGGGGAAATTTGGGTTGTTGGTAGAATTCTGTTCCTCATGGCTGTAGGACCAGGATCTGTGTTTTTGTGCTGGCTGTAAAGTGAGGGCCATTTCCAGCTCTAGAGGCCTTCACAGTCATTGGTTAGTTGTGCCCTTCTTCTATCTTCATAGCCAGAAATGGGCCAGTAAGGTCCCCATGTTGCATTTCACTGATCCTGACTACAGCTGGTGGAAAAGTTCTTCCCTTTGAAGAATTTATGAGATTAGATTTGGCCTATCTGGATAATGATAGATAATCCAGGTAAATCTTCCTATCTCAAGGTCCATAACCTTAATGACATTTGTAAAGTCCTTTTTGCCATTTAAGGTAACATTTACACATCCTGGAGACTGGGTAATGGACACTTCTCATGACAGCACCATCAGTGTCCCTATTTTATAGAGAGCTAGACTAGTTTAAGGTCTCACAGCCAGTAACTTGTACAATAATGATTTAGACTGAGACTCTATGCTTTTAACTAATTAGTTATTTTGTATTTCTCATCGGTCAGAAATATTCAAAAGTCAAGCACATCTAAAAGTCTAGGATCATAATCTTCCTAAATAAAAAAAAATCTGAGGGTGCACATGTTCATAGAATTTGCCAAGTGTGATGCTGAAGCCAAATCACCAATACCCACCAGTTTCAAGTGCATTTTCCTACTACCCACCAGACAAATCCCCTCCTTCCTCATCTACCCACAAAAAACTTTTATGAGGTTTCTGTACAAAACTACAAAAGAGCAAAAGCTACTCAACGCTCATCTGTAGCTCAGTTGAAGAAGAACCTTATGGCCTTCCCACCACCAAGCCCAGGGCCATGATGTACTCACCCAGTTTCATCCCTGCATCTCCTTTTCTTCCTGTAGCAGAATGTCCAAGCACTTGGTGTCTTAGTGACTGCCCTTCCCACTCCATCCCTGGGCTTCTGCTCTCTGCTGGCTCTGTCCTCCTGCCCCCACCAGACAATCATATAGTTCCTTTCTTCTTATTTTAACAATCCAACTAGTCACCATGCCAATGGTGAGCAGGGGTGCTATGGAAATGGAAGTTAGGGATGAAGGTGGTGGCCACAGCAGATCTGGTTCCCCATAATCTCCATCGGCCCTCCCCGGCCACTCCAAATACACACTCTAAGTCACAACAGCGTTAACTGCTCCTATATTACTTGATAAAAATGAAATTTTAATTTTCAAAGATTGAAGTTCTCTGGAGCTCCCGTTCCTTTACTTTCTAATCAAATTGTTCTAAGTCATTACTATAGAAATTCTGAGGCTGCCCCTAAGACCAATTTCTCATAGGAATAACGGAAAAAGGAACTGTAAAGGAAACAAAGTTTTTAAACGTTTAGAAATCTTCAAGTGTCCTTTAAGTCCTTGTCCTCTGGTTTTCCTGGCTGCTTGTTCGGAATTGGCTTGGTCTTACCATGCCGGGGAAGGAGGTGGCTGCAGGTTCCCCACTTTAACTTCCTAAAATAGAAATCTCACCTAGTTGGTCATGTAAGGAACAATGTTATCAATTTTAAGAAAGTTACTTGAATTCCCTACTAAAGTGATAATTCCAAATATAGAAGTCTCTGGAGCTGCTTGATTGCATTTCTTCCTTTCTTTTTTCTTTTGTTTTCCTTTCCTCCCTCTCTCTTTCCCTTCCTTCCTTCTTCTTTCTCTATTTTTCTCTTTCTTTCTTTCTTTCTTTTGCTCTCTCTCTTTCTTTTTTTTTCCTGTTTTATATTCAGGTTCAATTTACCTCTCTGAACTTTGCCTTAAACTGGCTCTTTGCTTTCCATCTTTACTTTTTCTGTTGTGAAATGACAATAGATAACATTTGTAGTCAATCTTCTATGCGTGTTGATATTAGGCTTGGTCAAAAAAGTTTTGTTTATGAGAGGGAAAATTACTGAAGATCGCTACGCTTGAATGAATTAGCCCATCAATCCTACCCATTAATCTAATGTCCAAGAGGTTGACTCAAGGATAGGTATATAGGAGCTAATAAGAACAGTGAGAACTTAGGAACTTACCTAGTGCAGGCTCTGGGATCTAAATGGTTCACCTGTTCTTTCAACAACTCTGTAGGTAGTAATTATTATTTTCATGTCACATATGGAAAAACCAACACACAGAGGGTAAGGAACTTGTCCAAAGGCCACATGCCTACAGAGTGGCTGAAGGTCTTCAAGCTTTGTCTTTTACCTCTTCATAGGCTACAAGATATTAAGCCTGACTCTTAGAAGGACTACTTTCACTCAGAGCTTAATAATTTTAAGTTAGAGAAACTAGGTTCTACATCCAATGAAAGATAGGCCGCAGGATAAATATGGGATTACATAGAATGGACGAGGGCTGAGCCCTAATGTAAAACAAAGTGTGGTGTTTATTTTGTGGTTTAGAAATCATATGGGGTTTGTTAGAAAGAACAAATCAACGTGGAATTCAGAAAACCTAGAAGAGTCCCAGCTAGGCCCTTATCCCTGAACCTGCTTCTTTACCAAAAAATGGGTATAATAATAGTTATTGCATAAGATTATCATAAAGATTAAATAAGATACATAATATAGTCTTCCTACAAATAGTGAGAGGGCTATAAAACAATTGCATCTTTAATCACATTAGCATCTCACTTATCTCTCTTGTCAACTGACCATCTGTCAACTTTTCATGTCACCAATAATCTTAATAACAAAGTACAAGAAATTATCCCTATTTTATAGGTGAGGAAACAAGGGCTTAGTAAGTGATATGTCCAGTACCAAATAGCTAATAAGTAACAGATACTCTAGTGTTCAAACCAAGAACTGGTGTTCATAAACTCCCATTGCTAAACAAAACAAAACAAAAAAAAAACAAAACAGATTTTAAGTAGCTACGTATTGACTTGGTATGGAGGAGAAGCTGATGTCTTTCCTCTAAACTGCATGGCTCCAAATGCCAACCTGAAGGTTATCTTGCACCCAACTTTGGAAAACTCCAGGGACCTCTCAGGCCATAGAGTTTTCATGCTGAAAGGGATCTTAGAGAACAGAGGATTCTAGTCTAATTTTTATCATTTTTCCCTTGAAGAAACTGAATTCAAGTCCTTGTCTGAGTTATACAGCCCATTATTGGGCATATTCAGTGTGAGAACTCAGGTCTCCTGACTCTCAGTTCCATGCTTATCCCACTTCTTTCAAAAGGTCTGGGCAGATTTACAAAGCTGAAACATTGTACTCTACATCAGTTCTCATTATTTCTGGGTTTCATTATTAGGCAAGAACCAAAAGCCAAAGAATTTCTAAAGCAACAATTTCTAAAGCAAATTTCTAAAGGGAATTTAATGATAGTTCAAAATGAAGCTTGAGCATTTACTATATGTCAGACACCGTGGTAAGCATATTACCTTCGCTTTTGCAGTATCTTATACACTTTAGTTATTTGAACACTACCTTTATGATATTTGCCAAATCTACATGCCATCCATATAGTTATTAACCTAATATTTGTTTTTGTATCATCTTTAAAATGCTAACCATTTTAGTTCTATCCTGCGCTATAATAGGAAATCATGAAATCCTCGTTATTTTTAAAATACATCATACAAATACATAACTAATAACATTAAAAAATTTGTCATCTGTGTCTCTCAAATATTATCGCATTTAGATACTCCCAGACTATAAAGAACTATTATAATCCCCTGTATATCTTATATTATATTCTCCTATTATATCCCAATATGTTCTTATTTTGTCACAATATAGAAAACTCAAGCTCAGTTAAATAACTTAACTTTGGTCTCATAGCAGGTACGTAGCATCACCACACTCCAAATCCAAGCCAGGCTAATTGCAAAGTCTGTGCTCCTACTTTACTGACATCGAAAAGTGCTCAGCAGAGTAAATTAAAATCAGAACTTGAGAGATCCTACTCTAACAGGGCCACAGACTTACCTCTTGGTGTGATTGTGTGCAGGGGTAGGTGCGTGTGGTTGGGGAAAACTTATAAGGGAATGACAGCACTATGAGCTTTCTAATTTTAAGTGTTTATTTTCAAAAGTATCATATCTACAAAGAAGTTGAAAAAGTAGCGCAGTGAACACTCCATACCCCGTGTTCAGGAATGGTTACCATTTACATTTGTTTAATTTTCAGTGTGTGTGTGTGCGTGAGCACATGCACGCACGCATACACACATACACGCATATGTATGTAGTTTGGTTGGAATCATTTGAAAATAAGCTGCAGATATTAGAATTAATTCATTCCTAAATACTTTAGCATGTATTCACTAAGAACAAAGACATTCTCCTACATAATTACAATACCATCACCATATCCAAGAATGTAATAAATACGCTATTATCTACTGTAACAACCCATTTTCAAAATTTCATGACTGCCCCCATATTGTCCCTTACAGCTGTTTTCTTTTTTCCAGGATCTAAGATCGCTTGTTGCACTTGGTTGTCAGTTCTTGATCTCCTTTTATCTAGAACAGTCCTTCTACCTCTTGTTTTTCATTCATTGTCATTTTTGAAAATTTCGGACCAGTTTTCATGGGTCGTTGATACAGGTTAATTTGCCCTTTTTCTGCACATTCTTTCAGAATTACTTGAGAAAAAGTTACATAGACTTCTCAGCAAATAGCAAATATCCTTAAAGTTCTGAATAGATTACATGATATAAAATCCTGACTATGATATATATTTTAGCAGCCAAATCAACTATCAGTTGGCCAAGAGAAGTAGCCTTGATCTGTGGTAGGTACACCCAATATCCCCCAAATCCTCCATCTGGACTTGAACAAATCCAGATTCATTTGGATTTCCTTAAGCTGATTTAAAATGAACATAATGCTGCTTTACCTTGTCTTCTGTCATTTTATCGGTTAGGAGTCCTCCTCTTAACTCCACGTCCTGTGATGAGTGTGGCACATGCAGCTGGCCAGCCTCTGCCTTTCTCCAGCTTTCTACTAGTTAGTTATACATTAGAGGAGGAGGAGCAAGGAAAGGAAGCGGAGTGGTCATTTTTATTAAAGTCCAAATCTAATCTTGGCAGAGGTTGACTATTGAGAAGAATCTAATCAATAAATGCTTTGCCTTCGTGACTTGTAGCTTCAATGCTTGTGCACCAGCAAAAGGAAATGGGAGCAGGTCCCTCTGGCGTAAGTTACGAAACCAGGGACGGTCACACTTTAAGAAATTTTAAGTACACCAGTAACCAGGGATGGTGAAAAAAGAAATCTTGGGTGTCTTTTGTAGAAGATGAGATGCTGGGCTGACGTACCGTGTTGTGAGATGACAGAGACAAAGGACATGGGAGGTACATTGCACTCTGCCCTGCAGAGAACCAGTACTATGGTGTTTGTGCTTTAGAGCTGGGCTGTGTGGCCAGAGGTCCTTGTAAGCTTGATTGCTTTACCTGGATGAGTTTTGGAGAGCTACGAACTTGGGTTTGAATCTCAACATTTTACTGGTGGTGTTACTTTGCTTAAGTGGGCCCTAGTGACTTTTCTCTTTGTTTTTTTCACCGAATAAAAAGAAAGTAACAGAACGCATTGTTTGCTATATGGATTAAATGTGATAGGAAAGTGGTTAGTCTAGTGCATAATAAGTGCTCAGCAAATGTTGGTTGTTGTTATTTTTGCTATTATTATTATTGGTATAGTGTTATGTCGAGAGGTGCTTGTAGAATATAGAGTTCTCAAGTAGATCTGCTCTTATGGCTTGAATCTGTACCCTTCTGTGTCTTCTTTATCATGTTCAGCCCTGTGGGAGCCCAGACACGGTCAAAATTGGTTGAGCTTGAACTATGTTTGGTGACTGTTGTCACTGGCTCTACTGAGGCTCAGCTGGAACCAGTTCCAGCAGAGGAATTACAACAGACGGTCCCCCAAATCCGGGGATGTTATGAAGAAGCAGACAGTGATAAAGTGAAGGATAAAGGAGACTCCAATTTCATGTGTCTCTTATTTCACCACCGCCCTTTTATTTCTATTATCTCTGCAGGGCAACCCGACGAGTAAATAATTCAGTCTAAACCACAAACTTGAGCCCAGCACAGTCCTAGGTTCTGATATGCATGAAATAAAAGACACTTAGGTGTTCACAAGGTATAAGAATATTGTCTAAATGGAATCACAAACAATAAAAGGTTTTTTCTTTTGGTAGAAAAACATGAACTAATATATTATTAGCAATAATAATTAATCTTTATTGAGTTGTTGCTTGTCGCCAGGTGCTGCTCTCAGCATTTTACACGGATGACTTTTTCATCCCAAGGCAATCTCCTTTGTAAGCTGGGCTTTGGCGAGCCAAGTTAGCCCAGATAGCCACACGGACGTCAGCGCACAGCCAGCACCTGGCTTTCTGCACCAGTTTCAGCTGGTTCTGCACGCGTTTCGGCTGGGGATGCGCGCTGCCCACTTGTCAGAGCGCCCAGGATCAGGAGAGGATTTCTTAGCAAACCACTTTCCAAGCGACTTGACCCTGCAGGGAGGGGTCTTGGGGCAACCGTGAGAAAGGAGTTCCCTTCTGATTTTTACCAACCTCGGGTTCCTGAGTCGTCCTTTTAAGAGACGGAATTGGCCTCGCGCGCGGCGTGGGGTCCGGGGAGCCTGCACCCACCCCCCACCCCCACCCCCCACCCCCGCGCAGGGGGCGCGCCCTGGAGCCGCGCGCCCGCCTCCCCGGGTTTGGGCAGCACCTCTCCCTGCTCTGTCTCGCCCGGAAAGAGCAATCCGTGCCCCCTTAGGGATGGGCTGAAGCTGCCTCCGTGGCGCAGGGCGGCGGGCCCGGGATCGCGGCGGAGGCCTGGCGCGGGAGGCGCTGCGGTGGCACCTGCGCGTTCCCGGGCGGTGATGGGGCGCTGGGGGGTGGGGGGGGGTGCGCCGCCCAGGGTCGCCGAGAGATCCCCGCTGAGCCGTGGGGTGGTTCTTCACGCTCCAAACCTGGAAGGGCAGAGTCTGATTACTTCTTGGCTGATCTAACCCTCGTGGTAGATAGCCCTGGCTCTAGGGGGAGAGTCTCCAAGGATAGGAAAGAGTCCCCCCTCCTCCCCTCCCCCCCCTTTTTTTTTTCATTATTTTTCTTCCCTTCAGTAACAGGAGACTTCTAGAAGAGGGAGGAGAGGAAACCAGCCCTCCCAGCTTGCTGCATTCCTCTGTCACCGGGCAGGTGCGGGAAGGCAAAGGCAAGGCGTCCCGGGGAACCCCATCCAGTGTGTTGAACTGGGCCAAGCTAGGGGCACAGGGGGCAGCTGGAGACTCCTTGACCCTGCGGGAGACAAGTGTACTTTAAGATTTCCGAGTCAGACTCGCCCTCATGGTACTTGCCTCTTGCCCTCTCTAGACACTCTGGTCCGGGCCACCAGCGTCTCTCCCGGCTGTGACCCCCTGGCCTCCCTGTCCCCATTCTTACCCTACAGTCCCCTTTGACAGAGCAGCCAACAGTGGTTTAAAAATTAAACCAGACCATAACCCCCTTTGCTTAAAAGTATCCAGAGGCTTCCCAGTCACCCTTAGAAAGAAACCCGAATTCTTTTCTATGGCAGGAGCAGCAGGTTTGGTGTAGCCTTCATTCCCTGACGCTGGGATCTCTCCTCCTCCTCCTCTCCTCCCCGTCTGCTCAGCCACACTGGTCTCAGGCTTGTTTAATGTATTCCAGGCTCAGCACCTTTGTACTCCGTGGGCCCCTGCCTAGAGCACTCTGCCCCAGATTAGTATGTGGCTGGCACCTCTACAATCAGATGACAGCGCAGACTCTCTAACCAGCCTTGTTCAGGTGGACGCCACCTCCCTCTTCCAACTCATTCTCCGTCCTGTTACTCTGCTTTTTTTTTTTTTCATAGCCCTTATGCTTGAAATTTTATTTACTAGTATTTTATAATTAAAACAGAAAATATTTCATTAATAAGATAATGAATAATAAATGACAATATTATGTATTACATATGTATTATATATGTATTATATACATTATGTGTAATAATGGTTATCTATAACATAATAATCAACATATTTAATTATTTGAATATTACAATTATTTTAATTAAAATGTATTATTATTTTATTATTTTACATGTCTATTATTTATTATGTTCCACTTTCCCCACCATATTTAGGTTCCATGAATGTGGAGACCTTGCCCATTATGTTATTTCCAGTGCCCGCTAGAGTGGTGGGTACATAGTAGGTACTCAATAAGTATTTGTTTAATAAATGAAGGAAGTTCAAGAAGAGTTGCTACATGCTTGGTTTTTGTTTTTTAAAGATTTTACTTTCTTATTGGGGGGGGGAGAGAGAGAGAAAACATGAGCAGGGGGAGGGGCAGAGGGAGAGGGAGAAGTAGATTCCCCAGTGAGCAGGGAGCCCAATGTGGAACTCGATCCTAGGGTTCTGGGATCATGACCTAATCTGAAGGCAGGCACTTAACCAGCTGAGCCACCGGGCGTCCACCACATGCTTTCTTGCAATGCGGGAGGAGGCATCTGAGGCTGGCATTAGATATTTATTGATTTAACGTTCAATAGATGCAGTATTTACACTGCATTTTGGTAGGCACCAATTACAACAGTGAACGGAACAGACAGGTCTCTGCTCTTATGGGGCTTACATTCTATGAAAGATACAAGATGGGTGCTGAGAAAGAGAACACCAGGGGGTGCCCACTTTAGAAAAAGTGCTCAGAAGAATGTTCTTTGAAGAGGTGTCTTTTTAGTTGATACCTGAAGAAGGAGCAGGCAGGGTGGAGGGGGAAAGTATGTGCCAAGCTTCAGGGAGGAAAGATCTTAGGTTGAAGGATAAGAGAAGTTTGGTTAAAGCAGGGGAGCAAGAGGAAGTGGCAAGGGATGCTATTGGGGAAATAGACAACAGCTATATGCAGTCAGAGCCTTGAAGGCCATGGGAATGAGCTTGGAGTCATGCCAAGGACAATGGGAACTCCTTGGAAGGGATTAAGCATGGAAGTGATGTGATCCAGTATCCGTTTTAAGATTACTCATGCTGCTGAGTGAGGGGTGGAATGCATGGGGCACTCATGAAAGAGGAGAGACACAATTGCAAGGCTCTTACAACAGTGCCTACTTGCTTTTGAGCACCAAAAATAATGGTGGTAGCAGGGAAGGAGAAGTAACAAATCCAAGATATATTTTAGTGGCGAAGCTGGACTTTTTCCTAAAAGTTTTGGGAGAGTGAGAATTCAAGATGGCAGATTGGCTCCTGGATGTTGAATTGGGATGATTGTGATGCTATTTAATGGTACCAATGCTGGATTGTTTATTCATCTGAGTGATAATCTAAGTTCATCTCCCAGACCTCAAGAAAGGTGGCAATAAAATAATCGAAACAGATACATTTTTTTTTTACTTTTTAGAAGTTAAACTTTGTCAAATAATTGTAGTTGTCCGAAATAATATAGAGTTCTATATACCCTTTACCCAGTTTTCCCCAATGTAACATCTTGTAAAACTATAGTATAATATCACAGTCAGGTTATTGATATCAGTAGTCAAGATACAGAACACTCCCATTGCCACAAGAGTCTCTCATGTTGCCCTTGTATAGCCACAGCTACTTCCCTCTCACCCTTACTGACTCCCAAACTGTGGCAACCATTGATCTTTCCAACATTCCTATAATTTTGTCATTTAATGAATGTAATAGAAATGGAGTTAGCTAGGATGGGTAGTGTTCTCGGAGAAATAGAACCAATAGTACATGTGGATAAATATGAGAGAAAGCGATTTATTTAAAGAATTGCCTCATGTGGTTGTGGAGGCTTGGTGAGTCCAAATTCTGATGGGGGACACCGGCAAGCTGGGAACTCAGGAAGGAGTTGCACATCAAGTCCAGAGGCAGTTAGCTAGAGAATTCCCTCTTGCTCTGAGGAGATCAGCCTTTTGTTCTATCAGACCATTGGCTGATGAGACCCACCCACATTCTGGAAGACAATCTACTTTACTCCAAGTCCATTTATT